AATTCCTAAGAGGCTTTGGACTATCCTTCATTCAGAGATCTCCTTGTTCCATGTTTAAAGGTGAGAAAACAAAGAAACGTAACACTGCAGTGACTTGTTCAAACGTTGCAAAACTGGCCTCTGTCGAATTGGATTTACACCCCATGCACTCACTCCCCTGACCAGAAGCTCTTCTGCTCTGCCTGTCAAACTGAGCCTGGAAAAAGGAAAGAAAGAAAAGGAAAGAAGAAGGGAAGGCACAAAGGAAGGGGAATAAGAGGGGAGGGGAGAGAAAAGAGAAGGAAGGGAAGGAGAGAGGAGAAGGGGGGAGAGAGGGGGAGAGGAGGGGAGGGGAGGGGGAAGGGAGGGGGAGGGGAGGGGAGGGAACGGGGAGGGAGGAAGGGGAGGGGGAGGGGAGGAAAGGGAAGGGCAAGGAAATTGGGGAAGCCTGGAGAGAAGGGGAAGGAAAAGAAGGGAAGGAAGAATAGTGGAAAGGAAAAGCGAAAGCGACGGGCGAGAGAATAAAGGAAAAAGAAGAAATGCAGGGGAAGAGAAAGAGGAAAAGGAAGGGAGAGAGATGGAGGAGGAGGCAGAAAGGTGAAAGAGGGCGAAGGGGAGGAAGAAGAAAGAAACAAGAAGCAAGGAAAGAAGAAAAGGAATTACAATTCATGCACTGGCAATAAATAAAGTATATACCTTCCTCAAGCTGCCTGCAAAACCCCCTGATCTTTCCAAATACTCAAGCTCATCGAGCTGCATGGTATTGGTTCCACAAAGAAACAGCAACCCTTGGAAACTGCCTTCCTCCCTCTTTCTATCACCCTATAACAACATCCATCTGAGAACATCTAAACAGAACAAACCATGTGGACCACCTGTCACTTAATGTCATCCTCAGTTTGTCAGCCCTTCTAAAACTTGGCTTCCATATTCATGGCTCTCTACTGGAAACCAGCTGGCGGGACCAAGGAGTTCCGATTCCAAAAGAGACCAAGTGATTGAGGTGGGACCAAAAAAGAACATCATATTCCTCACTGACCCGACCAATACATTTTCAGTTAGAACCTGGACACATACACCGTTACGTTTCCTCTATAGCACGTGTTGCGGCACCGGGGGCATTGAACCAATGATAGTACTGTTGGCAAAACAAAACAAACAGCGCGTTTAATGACAAGAACAGAATTAGCTAATAAAGTAAGTCAAATAACAAAATTTGTAGCCTAACCCATGCTATAAAAACTTGATTTTATAGAACTGAGGACCCATTTTGCACATTACATATGATCACGCCTTGAGGCGTGTTTTTATTTCGGCGGTATTGTGAAAGGTGTGATATTTGGAATAGAGGCATCATAAAGTCACGGAAGCCATAATTGATTAGAGCAGTGATGAGAGGCAGGTGGGTGGGTAGGCTGCTGCAGCCACAGGCAAATGTGGCCTATCTCTTTTCTGACGGTAACAAGAAATGAAAGGGCCGAGTGTGGTGGCTCACACCTGTAATTCCAGCACTTTGAGAGGCCGGGTGGATCATTTGAGGTCAGGAGTTCAAGACCAGCCTGGGCAACAAAGCAAGACTCCATCTCTACAAAAATAATAATAATAAAAAAACCATTAGCCCTGTGTGGTGACCTGTACACCCAGCTCCTTCGGAGGCTGAGGCAAGAGTTTGAGGCTGCAGTGAACCGTGATCATGTTACTGCACTGAAGCCTGGGTGACAAAGTGAGATCGTGTCTCTAAAACATTAAAAAAAAAAAAAAAAGTATCAACCAAAAAAATTAGTTACTTCAGAGAGTTTAAAAAAAAAAAAAAAAAAAGGAAAAATGAGAGTAGAACTGAAACAGCAGAAAGGCTCAAATCATCCTGGACATAGAAATCCTCCATCCAGGCCGGGCGCGGTGACTCATGCCTGTAATCTCCGCATTTGGGGAGGCCGAGGCAGGCGGATCACGAGATCAGGAGATCCACACCATTCTGGATAACACGGTGAAGCCCCGTCTCACTAAAAATACAAAAACAAAATTAGCCGCTGGTGGTGGCGGACGCCTATAGTCCCAGCTACTCAGGAGGCTGAGGCTGGCATAAATCCGGGAGGCGGAGCTTGCAGTGAGTGGAGATCAGCCACTGCACTCCTGCCTGGGCCACAGAGCAAGACTCCGTCTCAAAAACAAACAAACAAACAAACAAAAAACAGAAAGAAATCCTCCATCCAGCCCTGTTGCCCTGTTGGTTCTGTGTGTGTTGGAGGGGGTGGAGGGGCAGCCTTCTAAGAAGACTTTCAAGGAGGGCTTCCTACCACCTCAGCTAAGACTTGTTTGTCTATACAATTAAAAGGTAGAGAGAAATACTTTGTCCTAAACCAGCCTCCCCAGTTCCCACCACCAGAGCGCCTGACTTTGCAGGGAAGGTTATCTGTTTACCGTCCGAGCACTTTCAGGGATTTTAAAATGCCATGAGTGGGAACCAGTGCCCTGGGAATGGCCATTTCCATGAAAATTCCATTTCGGGGATTAATCCGAACAGGTGCTACTGACTTTTTCTCCTGTACACATCAAAGAGTAAAACCAACCAGGCCTCTGCTTAACAGGTGAAGATTCCAGCAAAGTTAGGAAACAGGTTTCTATTTGCAGCAGAAGAGTGAGCAGGCAGGAAGAGGAAGATGGGAGCGGGGAGAGACTGGCAGAGATTCAGAAAGTTCGCGCTTGAGATTTTTACGTTTCTTACTCACACACGTCTATTTCTCTGGGTTTCTGAATGCAAAGACGAAAAAGTCTCAAGAGTCTGCTAAACTAACACGGCCTTCGAATCCCAAACTGAACACGGTAGCTGAACCAAGCCGTCCACAAAGAGGAAAGCCAGAGGGGGCCAATTAGGAAGGAAGAAATTAAAGAAAAGAGAAAAGCCAAGATGAAAGGTCCAGCGCAAAGTGAGTGACACGCCTGGAGAATGGCAACCCTAGCAGGGTCTGTGGCCGGCGGCGGAGGTGGGGACGCCGCCGCGCGGACGACTGACAGGTGGGTCTGGCGCAGCAAAGGGAGCGGGTGCCGCGGCAGGGCCTCCCCGGGGGCAACGCGAGGGCCTCCCCTGGGGCAGCGCGGGCCGAGGCGGCGCCTCCCGAGCGGGGGCAGCAGAGGAGGGAGCGGAGCGGGAGCCGGGCGGAGGCGGCTGCGGCAGGGGGAGGCGGGTGGCAGGCGCGCTGGCTCCCATGCTGGCCTCGGTGCCACTACCGCGCCTGCCGCGCTCCGGGCTTCTCTTTCCCCTCCGACGCGCAGCGGCTGCCCACCCATTCCGGCTGCCGGGTCTGGGCAGCTCCCCGAACCCCTCCGCGGAGAGTGGTGAGGCGGCGCCCGGGTGGCCTCCGGGGCGCGCTTGGTCTCGGAGAAGTGGGGACGAGGCTGGAGGATGAGCGGCTGAGGGCGACGCGGGCACTGACGCGAGTTGGGGCCGCGACCACCGGCAGCTGGCAGCACGATGAGCGAGTCCCCGGAGACGCCCTAGCCCGGTGCGCGCGCCGGGCGGAGCGCGCAGGTGGGGCTGGGCTCTCCGCGGTCCGCCCCGCGCGGGTCCCCGACTGGCCCAGGATGGGCGCTGGCAACCCGGGTCCGCGCCCGCCGCTGCTACCCCTGCGCCCGCCACGAGCCCGGCGTCCGGCCCACGCCTTGCGCTCATGTATGTAGGTTGGGCGCCGGTCTTCAGGGCTGAGGGTGCATGCTGGGTGTCCCCGCGCTGCCGGACGCGCTCCCGCTGTGTTCCGCCGCTCAGCTGCTCCGGAGGACCCCCCTTCCCCCGCCCAAGTTTGTGAATATGGGCGCTTCGCCCAGTGTTGAGGTCGGAAGGGACCGGGCAGGGGGTGAGCAAGGCCGGGCACGTTCAGAGCCCTCAGGGAGGAGGGCTGAGGGGGAGGGGACAGACGCACTGGAGTGCGCAGAGTGGGGGCGTTCGGGAAGTGAGGCAGAGAGAGGCTGGATTGCCGGTGTCCTGCGGCGTATCGGGCTCTCCCAGCCCCTTTGGGCGGCAGAAACTTTGGAATCCAGAAAGGCTGGCGAGGGTCCGGCGAGTAGGAGGGTCTCGCCCCCACTCTGCGCCCTGGAGCCCCAGCCTTCCACTCTGCGCCCTGGAGCCCCAGCCTTCCGCACTGCACTCCTTGGTGCTGCCCGAGCGCTTCTGCTCCGCAGCCAGGATCCTACAAGACTGAGCGCCGCGGCCGGCGGCCGGCGACCTGGCTCCCGAGGCTCCCAGGGGCGGGCCGGCGGAGGAACTGAAGCCCCGGGAATCCCCGACTTGGCCCTCTGGGAAGGGGTCGAGGGCATCTTTTCATGCAGCGGGGCTTAGAGAGCAGGGAGGGGACATCTGCTCCCGAGACGGGAGGCTTTTAAGTTGTTGTTAGAAATGAATCGTGGAGTCCTAGGAGAAGCTTTGTTTAACCTCCCCGAATTTTCCCAGCACAAACCCCTAAAGCAAATGAGGAAGAGTTTCCCTCTTATCTTCCTGTACTTTCGTCTGTCTCTAACTCCACTGCTGAATTCTCCATTTAATAACCTTCGGGAAACGTTGCCAGGACCCAGGGAGGGACACCCTGGGTGCCCGAATTACGTGGTTCCCAGCAGAGCTTTGCAGGGGGGCGCGGGCCCTGCTCACTGCGTTCCCTGGGCTCCGAAAGCCGCCCTTGGCCATCTCCAACACTAATCGCGACTACATCAGAAACACGCCGGCCGGTGTCGTTCTTGGATTTCGTTTCCAATATATCGCTCCACAATTTGTGATGTCTAAGAACCCCGGCCGTGCACCGACGCTGGGCATGCTGCCCCCGCCCCCGTCGCCCAGCTCGTTAATCTAGAGCTATGCCGGAGCCCGGGTGGGGGCCGCGGCGGGCCGGGGCGCGCGCGGGCCGCGGGGCTCAGTTGTGCTGCTGTTCTCTCCGCAGGGACGGCGGCTCCCGGCTGGCGGCGGCGCGCCCCCGGGCTGTGAATGCGACTCGCCCCTCGGCCGCGCTCCCCGCCCGCCCGCCCGCCGGGACGTGGTAGGGGATGCCCAGCTCCACTGCGATGGCAGTTGGCGCGCTCTCCAGTTCCCTCCTGGTCACCTGCTGCCTGATGGTGGCTCTGTGCAGTCCGAGCATCCCGCTGGAGAAGCTGGCCCAGGCACCAGAGCAGCCGGGCCAGGAGAAGCGTGAGCACGCCTCTCGGGACGGCCCGGGGCGGGTGAACGAGCTCGGGCGCCCGGCGAGGGACGAGGGCGGCAGCGGCCGAGACTGGAAGAGCAAGAGCGGCCGTGGGCTCGCCGGCCGTGAGCCGTGGAGCAAGCTGAAGCAGGCCTGGGTCTCCCAGGGCGGGGGCGCCAAGGCCGGGGATCTGCAGGTCCGGCCCCGTGGGGACACCCCGCAGGGGGAAGCCCTGGCTGCAGCCGCCCAGGACGCGATTGGCCCGGAACTCGCACCCACGCCCGAGCCACCAGAGGAGTACGTGTACCCGGACTATCGCGGCAAGGGCTGCGTGGACGAGAGCGGCTTCGTGTACGCGATCGGGGAGAAGTTCGCGCCGGGCCCCTCGGCCTGCCCGTGCCTGTGCACCGAGGAGGGTCCGCTGTGCGCGCAGCCGGAGTGCCCGAGGCTGCACCCGCGCTGCATCCACGTCGACACGAGCCAGTGCTGCCCGCAGTGCAAGGAGAGGAAGAACTACTGTGAGTTCCGGGGCAAGACCTATCAGACTTTGGAGGAGTTCGTGGTAAGAGGCGAACGCCCGCCGGGCGACTTTGCACCTTCCAGGAAGGGGTGGAACAGCTTTGGTTCTGTGGTCCCCCACTTTGATGAAGAGGTGCTCTCTGGTTCTCAGAGGTGGAGAGCGCTGTGCTCAAGACCCTTTGACATGACCTCTCTTTTTCAGGGCAGAGGTAATCCTTCCAAGAGCACTGTGGCCAATCCATAGGGATACCTTCGGTGTTCACTTTAAAAAGGCTTCATGAGGATGAAGCCCATGGCACTGAAGGCAAGGGTCCCAACAGGTATCAGAGGGACTTTCAACATTAATTTACTGCTCCTAATTTGGGAATGTTGTCGCTGAAATGCTCAACCTGCTTTCAAACACAGGGTAATTTACCATGTCATTTGGGATATATTTTTCAACTAATAGCTAATTAAGGGAGACTATTCATATAAATAAGCCATTTCCCTAGATTATGTGTGTATCATGCAAATGTTCTAAAAATTAAAAGAAAAAAATATTTGCTCATGGGGTGCCAAATCATAGTGGATGGCGAAACCAACAAGTGCAGTTAATAGTTAAAAATTGTTTTGATTTAGATACGTAGTAGTAGTGTTAATAATACCGGCCATCTCTCTAATGCCTACTGTGCGTTAGAATCCCGCTGTTTTACATGTACATTAGTTAAATCTCATACCATTCTAGGAGGTGGATTATTATCCATTGTCTCCATTTTATGGAGAAGAGGAAACAGACACAGAATATTTAAATAATGTGTTGAAGGCAGAGCAGCTATTAAGAAGCAGATTCATATGTCAAACTAAGCAGTTCTACTCCCATAGCTTAGGTTTTTAACCCTTATGCTCTACTTGAACCAAAAGCCCAGCTCCACTGCGGCTTTAGTTTGGGTGAAGGTGCTGCACAGCCTGCATGCACAGGCTCCAGGTAAAATCCCTGCAAGTGGGCTGGGGGCCTGAGAGAGACCTGCACAGGTGTTCAGTTATTCCAGACACCTCAAGGTAGACTCAACCTATGGCCTGCCTGGACTTGGCCCATTGACTTGCCAGGCCTTAGTTGTCCTTTTCCCACCTGCAGAGGGCGTCATGGAGCGTGCAGCTACTAAAGCAAAGCTGGGCAGGCAGGTAGGGAGGAATTCTGCTGGAATACCCCTCCTGGAATTAGCCTGTGAGATCTGCTAATTCCCAGGATGTGAAGTCCATGTAGTTACTGACTTGTGGCAATGAATTATCAAGTGTTACAGAAGTCCAAAGCCAGGAAGGACATATCTATATATGGTGTACAAAGTATGGAAAGAGTGCTGGAATTTAGAGTCAGGAAACATGGTTATCTGTTCTGGCTTTACCACTGACCAGCTGCAGGACTGGAGCAAAAGACATATCCCCTCTGGGTTTCTTTTCTCTTATCTGTAAGATAAGGGGCCAGCTATCCTTAGGCTCATGTAGCAAAATATAGCTCCAGGCATACATTGCTTAAGTACTAACATTTGACTTCAGCCCTTTGGAGAAAGACAGCTGAGAGGAGCAACTCCTTTGATCCATGCCCAGGCCATACAAAATTAACTAAATCAGAAACCCTGCCCTCAAAATGCTTCCTGCCTATGGGAGGGTCTGGTAGTTACCTCTCCAGATGTTTTGGGTGCAATACAAAAGTGCACAGGCAAATGTGTCCAGGTAAAGGAACTCGTGGGTGCCAGATGACCCCAGAAGAGGGGCCTTCCATTTTGGCTTGGAGCAGGGTCATAGAACACTAGAACAACTCTCTTAAGTTTTGAATTGGTAACATCATTGGCTCTTCTAAAGTCAAAGATAAGCAGTGATTTGTAATTAATTCCTTTTGTTGTTTGCAGTGTTTATAGTTCCATAGTAATTTGTTAGAATTGTCGTAAGAGGTAAACTGAGGAATTAATAGCACTTTGATCTAGAAAGCCCAAATACTTCAGTGTCCACTTACCTACCTGAGATCACAGGTAAAGGGAATAATTCAAACTTCCGTCTTAATTGTACATGCTAAATGCTAGCAGCCATGAAGCTGCTTTTGTCAATGGAGGAGAGGGATCTCTTATTTAATTCCTCTTTGCTACCTGTTTGGTAGTCCATAGGTAGAATGTGTTTTCAAACTCTTGAGGACGGGAGATGATACTGACAAAAGGGAAATTGGAAAGATTACAATCTTAGAAAGAATTAAAATACCAGTAAAGCTATTTTTGGAGTATTAAGCGCATCTTCCATCTTCAAATGTCATTTCATTCTAAACTTTCATCAGTTATTACTAGATGCTGGGATGCACACATGCTTGAAAGTTGCAAAGTTGTTACACATTTTTAATTATATGCTTGTTCTTATGTCAACTACATAAAGATTTTATAGTGTTATATCATGTTTGCTCCTTTTTGTTATTATCAGGAACATTTCTAGGCATTCTTCTAATTTATTGTGGCCTTGTGCAGGCCATTTACTGTCTCCATTTTTCTGTCCTTCAGTGTACAAAAGAGAAAGCAGTGCTTTTTTTGAAGAATGTTGAAAATATGAATGTAGAATGGTATAGGGTTAGTTGTGAGTCCACGGGGTTTGTGGGTTGGAGTAATAGAGATTTGTCGTGATGCTGAGTACCAGGGCACAGAAATTGTTAACATGCCTGCTCTGGGTATTCTGGGTTTCAGAGAGAGATAAATTGTACTCTGTAGTTTGCATAGCACAAAGTACATGGAAAACGAAAAAGGAAAGCATTTCTGTCTGAAGTGCTTTGCACTTCTCTGAAGAAAATGTGATTCAAATGGAGATTGTGGTACAGTAGGGTCATGACTGGAACACTGTTTACTTTAGCAAGGAAGGAAGTGAAAGTGAGATTCCTTGGGCCTCAGTCCCTGCAAGATGCATAGATCCTTTAACAGTCTGTTCTCTGCTTCCAGAGAGAGAGAGAGAGAGACAGAGAGAGAGAGAGACGGAGAGAGGGGAAATTACTAGTTATTGATGGAGGCTTGACCCTCTTTGAGCAGTAGATTAACCCCAGAGCCTGCCTGTGCTTGCGATGTGCAGGGTATTTGGCTCCGGCAGGAGTGTGGTTTCTCCCTGTCTTCATAGGCTTCTCTTTTGTTGGGCATGTTTTCTTGCTGCCTTCTCTACTCTACTCAGTTTTCTGCATATTCTGAACCTGTTCTTTCCCTTCTCTCTGTACTCTTTTACCCCATTAAAACTTCTTCTCCTTACAGCCTGTTTGATCTCAGTTAGATACTTGTGAAAGATCTCACTGATTCCACAAAATACCATTAAGCTGCTAATAATAATGAGAGTAATGTGTTCATTCCTCCAGGGATGGTTGTAATTTAATTTGTACAGTCAAATAAAAACATAGTTAATAATAGAATTTTCTCCACTGCCTCTCAAATGATACCAAGTGTCTTTTTTTTCTTTAACTTATACCAGCAGGCATCCAACTTTGAATAAGGAAGCTTGTCTATTGGCTTATGATTATTGTTTTTTTAGTAAATGAATGATATTTTTAACTGTTTTGTGCTTCCTACAGTATATTAGTCTGCTAGGGCTGCTGGAGCAAAGGAAGACAGACTGGGTAATTGAAACAGAAATTTGTTGTCTGGAAATCCAAGATTTCCAGACTTCCAGTTTTGCAAGTAATCTGGAAGTCCAAGATCAAGGCGTTGGCAGGGCTGGTTTCTTCTGAGGCCTCTCTCCTTGGCTTGCAGATGTCCATCTTCTCCCTGGGTTTTTTCGTGGTGTTCCCTCTGCATCTGTCTGTGTCCACTTCTCTTCTTATAAGGACACACTCACATTGGATTGGGGCCTGCTCCAATGACCTCATTTTAACTTAATTACCTCTTTAATGACCTGTCTCCAAACAGTCATATTCTTAACTACTGGCATGAAGACTTCAAAATTTGAATTGTAGAAGCACACAGTTCAGCCCAAAACATAGTGTCAATGACCAAAATTGACTTCATAAAACAGATCTAATGAGGTAGTAACAGTGGGGTGTGTGAGGATGCATCAGCACGCATGATGGGAAAACAGTGCTTACGGCAAAGGCATAGAGTGAGTGGTGATGAAGTGTATGCCAATGAATATTAACTGAGGGGCTCATCTTGACCATTCTGATTCTGTGTCTATTGCATTCTGAGAGTCACTTTAGGAGTTCTTATATTACTTATGTGAATGGATCCTTGTATCACGGAAAACTGAAAGGTGACTAAGGGTGCAGAGGGGGGCTATATTGAGTAGTTGTAAATTTTGCCTCAATGACCATGTGATTTGTTCAGAAGTAAAATAACATTTGAAATGTGTTAATTTAAAAAAAAATCATTCTATTTTTATCAACAAAACAAGCTGTTTTCATCATGAGAATTTTGGTCTCTGTGATTCCCTCTGTGAATCTTGGGAGGACTGTGATGGTGGAAAGGGGAGTTTGCAGGCTTATTTCATGTTTTATAGAACCTAATGGAAATTTTGTGACTCTGAAATAGGGCCATACAGGATAACTAAATCTTCACATTTCTTTGCTTTTGGTAGGATTGATATCAGCAAAGTGTGTCAACACTGGTTATCATAGCTGATCAGGAGCTCTGATTGGCAATTGTATAAGTCTTTGAAGAAAAAGGGAAGATGAATTATTAATAAGTGAAGCTTACTAGACTGTCTTTCAAAGCTTGAGAACTGTTGAGAGAGAGATAACAGGAAGGGGTACTTGGAGGTGAAATGATTTGGGACCGCTGAGTTAAACCAAATTCTCTCTGACTGCTTCCGTATCTGACTTGCCGTTAACCCCACTGGAAAATCTTATTTCTAGGTTTTTATCAATTAAAAAAATTCAAACGTGAAATTTGGAATCAAAACCTCCATCTAAATAGATCTCTACTGTAATTATGAGAAAATGCCAGCAAAGAGAAAGCCACGGTTATTCATGCTTTTCAGTCTAATGGTATTTATATTCTTTTGGCTGATGTTACTTAACTGAAAACAATGCTATTATTATCTACCTTCACTAAGTAAAAT